CACGCCGTCTGGGGGGGTGGGTGGGTGAGAGGGCAGGACTCCTCCTGTCTCTGCCCAGAACCGGCCTGGCGGGCAGGCTGGGACACGGATGATTCCTTGGAAAAACTGCTTGCTTTGCCTTCGGGGACCCTTCCAGTAGGATGGAGAGGAACAGGCGGCCCCTCGGGAGCAAGTGCGTCCGTCACCCGTGTGCCCGGGCTGGGCTGGGACACCCACACGGTGACCTCGCACGACGGGGACATGCGCAGGTTCCTTGGGTCCTGGCTGAAGCTGGCGGAGCTGGGGGGCTGCCGTTACCATGGGCAGCGGGCACAGGTACCCAAGCACAGGCACGATCGTTTCTTGCCCCGTTGTGCTCCCTGGACAGTGACCCACACACTGCCAGGAGCCTGGGGTCTGCGGGAGCGGGGTCCTGCTGCAGGGGAGCCGTTCCAGACCTCACGGGGTCATGACATGCTGATGCATTGACTTGACGAGTGTCCAGCATCCCTTCGGACGCTTTGCTTCTGCCAGGCACGAAGCTCCGTGCCGCACTGGTCCTTGGGGAGGGAGGTGGGTTTGGCGGACCTGCCTGCCCAGAGTGGGCTCTGGAGGGCACCCGGGCTGCTGGCCAGAGCAGAGGGAGCGGGGCTTGTGTCCACACAAGGAGCAGAAAACTTGTGCAGTTTTCTGGTGTGACCAAAGGAGAAGATGTCATTGCATAAAGTAACCAAAATTTATAGCCAGAGCTTCTGAAATGATCTAACGAACAGTGCTCTGTCTGTACAGACTGTTCTTGCTTTCCTGGTTGTCGTTTGAAAGACATCTGCATTCTACATTCTCAGTTGTCTCTGTTTTTTTAAAAAAAACAAAACAAAACCAAAACTCAAAACATTTTGTTCCAATTTATGCGGGTTCGGCAGTGCAATCCTCTTGACTCACTGGCAGTCGAACTTGGAACTTCCCAGTTAGACTGAGCCGTCACCTGAACAGCACGTTCCTGCACTCTTAATCTTTGAATAGTGGGAAAGGACTTTGAAGAGTCCAGGTAACTCAGGGATCCTTTTGATTTCAGTTAGAGAAGGGCAGTGGCTCGGTACCAGAATCAGACGAATTCCTGCTTGCTTAGTTTATATGAGCTTCATTTTTGAATTGCTGGGATTCTTCATGGAAATCAGGTGAGAGCGACACAGCCTGTCCTTGTCTGAGAAAAGGAGAGTGAAGCCGGTGGATCAGGGCCACGCTAAACGGGCTCCGTGTTCCCCGTTCTCCTGTGGTCACGTACCAATCCCCTCTCGTTCCGGGTCTGGGATGGTGTGTGGACCTTGGTAACGCTGCTTCTGCTGATGCTGCCGACGGGGAGCGATGCCTTTGAGATCCTTCCCGCAGCCTGGCGACGTGGCCGAGGGCAGAGCGGGGAAGGCGTGGGGAGCCGGGGTGCCTGGGCGGAGGGGGAGCCCCCACTCCATCGGCGGTCCCGCGGCGGTGCCGTGGTGCTTCTCTGGATACAGGGACTCGTGGCTGGGGGAATGCCTCCAGTGCCCTTCTGCAGCAGTTGCCAGAGTCCTTCTCCCTGTGACACCACCAAGAAGCTGCTCCCTTGCTAGTTGTTGGAACGAAAACAATGGCTAGCAAGGAGGGCACGGGGAACGTGGCATCCTAAACTAAAGCTAGTGCTTGTCTGTAGCTGTCCTCCGTCTCTTGGTGGCTTCTTCGTAAACAGCATTTTGTTACTAAAAAACCTGAAGCGCTTCCCCGGTGGTGGACCTCTGCAGAGGTTGCCCATTCTGAGGCGGTGTTCAGGGCAAATATTTGTCCCAGTGCTGTGTTAGCACAGTATTTGTAATGTCGGGCCAAGGGCATACGTTCTGGTGCAGAAGCCCAGAGACATGAATCGCGGTTGTGTGTTTCAGAGGATTCGCTCTTGGCACTGTCTGTGCAGGATGCTGTGTCCAGCCTTCGGTAACCTGCAGCGGGACTCGGCACTGGGCAGTAGCGCGTCAGCATTCCTCATCTTGCTGTCCCGGAGTAGCCGTGGATTCCTTATTGAACAAATAAGGTCGTGTATGGAGAGACAGAGGCCAGAGGGGCAGAGCTGTGTCCTGGTGGACCTGTGGCTTGGAAGGGCAGGTTACCCGTCCGAGTCATGGTGTTCAGATGTTGAGTGAGAGGCTGAGGGATCAGCCGAGCAGGTGCAGTCCGAAGGAAGGCAGTTTAGCAGCTCCCAGGCGGCTCGCATAATCTGCGTCAGAGCCTGCTGATAAACTGCTTTGTGTGATAAAACTTCTTAGAGCAAAACTTTGTGCAAAGGGTTCATGAAGGTGGAGATTCTGATCTCCGTGCCTTTTCTGGCGGAAGAGTAGGACACTTTTCTGAAATTTTGAACTGCTGTTATTTTTTTCAGGGACAGAATGGGCTGCCTTGTCTTACAAGTCAAGGGAGACTCTAGTGTTCCTAGCATGTGGAAGTTGTGGGAGGGGTTTTGGGGGGGTTGTTTGTTTGTTTTTAAAGAACCTGGCATGTTTGTTGTCTTCCCGGAGAAGCACCATTCAAACATCCTGACTCTGTCTCTCTCCCTGTCTTCTCGCCCATTCCAGGTCCGGACTGTTTTGTCTCCCATCCTCCTTTCCCAAGCCCGAGGACCCTCCGGCCGCCGCTCACGCTAATGGAGTTGCTGATGGCGGAGATGCTGCGCAGGGCGACCCGGAGCCGCAGCTCGCTGGGGAGAAGCCTCCCAAAGGGAACGGCGACGAGCAAGTCCCCCCGCTGCTGCCTCCACCGCCGCCGGGCAGCCTCCCTCCCTACCCCCCGTACTTCGAGGGAGCTCCCTTTCCCCGTCCGCTCTGTCTACGGAACACGAAACACCAGTGGGTTCCCCAGCCACCCCCACGGACTATAAAGCGGACGAGGAGGCGTTTGTCGCGGAACAGAGACCCGGGAAGGCTTATCATGAGCACCATCCGGCTGCGGCCAAGGCAGGTGCTGTGCGAGAAATGTAAGAACACGCTGAACCCCGAGGACGCCAGCGCGGGCAGGCAGAACGCTAAAACCAGGAGGAAGCTGAGCATGCAGGACAAAGAGCAGAAGAAGCACAGCGACTCCGACTATGCGGAGAAAAGGAACAAGCGAGAAAAGAGGGAGGATGACAAGTTTTCTGGGGAACTGGTACATCGAACGCCAGTTATAAAAATATCCTACAGTACTCCCCAGGGGAAAGGCGAAGTGGTAAAAATCCCTTCCCGGGTTCATGGCTCAGTCAAACCGTTTTGTCCAGAGCGAGTATTGCAGAACGGAGGGGAGGACCAAGAGGAGACCAGAGACTCGGAACGGTGTCGTGACACCAAATGTTTGATGGACAAGTCAGCAGGCAGCCAGCTTGCTTCCATTCCAAAACTGAAGCTCACGCGGCCGGTGCATCCCAGTGCCGATGTCCCACCCCCAAAGATACGGCTGAAGCCCCATCGCATCAACGATGGGCAGAGTGTTTCCATTTATAAGGCAGAGCTCATCGACGAAATAAATGTCCTTCAGAACAGCAGGGAGTCCAATCCTGGCACATTTTACAACGATGAATCCACAGACAGAAGTTTAGCTGAGATCTCTTCGGGGAGTTCAGGTGAAGATGATGACTTTAAAAGATTTCCCCAGGGTAAAGATGGACACGATAACTTGGCTTTCCTTATGAATTATCGTAAAAGAAAAGCGGATTCTTCTAGCTTATCGGTGTGTAGTAACGACAGTCTAGACGAGTCCAAGTCTTCTAGTTCAGAAGTAACATCACCAGAACTGTGTGACTTTTTGCCTGGTGATGATGCGTCCGTCTCTTCATCTTCAAAAGATGAGCGTAAAATTGTGCCGCCGCTGACGGTCAGACTGCATACCCAAAGCGTGTCTAAATGTGTCACGGAAGATGGAAGAACTGTTTCAGTGGGGGATATTGTTTGGGGTAAAATTCATGGTTTTCCGTGGTGGCCAGCACGTGTTCTTGACATAAACCTGAGCCAGAAGGAAAACGGGGAACCTTCGTGGCGAGAAGCTAAAGTATCGTGGTTTGGTTCTCCAACGACTTCATTCTTATCTGTTTCAAAACTCTCTCCTTTCTCTGAATTTTTCAAACTGAGATTTAATCGCAAGAAGAAAGGGATGTATCGGAAAGCTATCACAGAGGCTGCCAAGGCAGTAGAGCACCTGACTCCGGAAATAAGAGATCTCTTAACGCAGTTCGAGACATAACTTTGCCTCCAGTATCAGGTGAGTGCTCGCTGCGCTGATGCTTCCCCTGAAAAACTTCTTTGTGTTTTTAACCTACCTTGTTTGCATTTGTTTTTCCTTACAAACTGAGGTGGACAGTGGCTAAGCTGAAATGCGTGGCTGAGTTGGCGGTGGTGGTTTCAGAGGTGATGAGAGCCCCTAGGTGGGGGACTGTGGGACCTGGAGCCCTGCTCTCGGAGGGCAGTGCAAAGCCGTCGACATCATCAGGAAGCAAGCATCGAGCATCGCTTGCTCCAGGAGCTGATGAAACTGCAGTCACGTATCAGCACCGTTCACGGCTGGGACGTGGCGAGTGTCGAGGGGACTTGATTTACGTCAGAACCAATCCTGTGTGGCTGGAGGGCTCGCAGCTCCTAGGCTTGACGCTTCTTTGAAGTACCTCGTGGTTCAAAGAGCTAAAACTCTTACCAGAATGGAGATGATGTTTCTCGTACGTAGGTACTGATGCCCAGCAGTTCCCTGTGACAGCTCCGGGCTCTCAGAGGCCCTTTGCTGCCCTGCAGGTCTCTGACCCCTCTGCTGTGGGTTCCCTACGAAGGCACTTCGTGGCTCTCCAGAACGATTGTACCAAAAACCGTCCTTACCTGGGGAGCAGTATTTCAGCATTTCTGACAGCTCTTGGGGTTTGGCTTGTGTCTGAAATGTTGGTGCGTTGCTGGGGATCGGCCTGTATCATCAAATTAAATTATTTCAGGCTTCACCTGCAACCTCTTTGAGGAGTAAGATGGGAACACAAGCCTGGGAGCTGGCTCTCTGTGACGCCTCCATGGTTTGCTTTTACTGGTCGCAAGCACGGAGGGGGATGGGACTCCCTTTCTCATCAAACAGTCGAAACTTTGCCCAGGATGAGAATTTGGTACCTAAAAATACAGGATGTGGTGCGACTGGGAATAGAAATACCATCTGTCGTTGCAGTCGCTTCTCCCGCGCTCACTGAAATCCGTGGGAAAACTCCAGCAGCTTGAGTAAGATCTCGGATTGTTCCACAACCGTCCAGCCTTCGCTGTCTAGAGCAGAGCTGGCCGGTGATGCTGCGAAGCACGGGGAGGTGTTAACTCCTCAGCTGCAACCATAGCTCATCATGAGGAGGAGTCGTGCTGTCAGAGGTCTTGCTTTATACACTGCGGTTCGTTGTGTTGTCCCCTCATTTTTTCTGCTGTTTCTCCTGCTGGCAGCACTGTGTGTGCACGGCCCCGCTCTGTTCTCCTCTGAGCCGGGGTGTTGCACGGGACTGCGATGGCCAGTGCTCGGGGAACCCGGGCTGGGGACAAGGGCTGGCTTTGTACCCCTGTCGTGGGACTTCAGCCCTTGCTGGAGTGTGGTGGAGGACTTGCTCTGCTGGAGTATTGTCCCATCACAGCGAGCCTGGCTGGAGGAGGCAGGCGGTGTGGCGTGTCCATCCTGCGTGCTCGAGCTGTCTGGGCAAGGAAGAACGCCTGACTGCAGCAGCATTGCGGCTTCACCCGTGATCACGCCCCTTCAAATGCTGCTTCACTCTGGCTAAAGACTTTATTGTATCAGGAGCGTTTGGCTTGGACCCAAATTCCTGTTAGCTAGAGCTGGAGTATAAATAAACCTGATGCCCAGAATGCGCTGTCCTCGCCAGTGAAGGAGCCACGGCCGGGATCGCTTGCTGCTGTACCAACAGTGCTCTGTTTAAAGGGCAGCAAAGCCCCGTCCTCCCAGCCGTCCTCGCTGGGTGCCACCACGGGTATCTGAGCGGTGGGCACCGAGCAGAAGGGACGGAGCAGCTCTGCAAAGCGGGAAAAGGAGGAAATAGCAGAAAATGATGGTATGGGCTGGGTTAGACCCGTCCTTCCCTCGCTGCTCTTCGGCCAGATCTCTGCTGGTACATATGGGCGTGTAGGTACCGTTAATGCGTATCGCCCTCCCTCAGCTGGCTTGCTCAGGATGGTTTTCTGCCTTACGCATGTCTGAGGTGAGCTGCTCTTGCTCAAAACTGGGAAAGCAGAACAAAGCCTCCTGTGTTCCATGGGTCAGGTCCCTTCGATCCCCTGTCAGACCAGCACGTCCAGCGCTTTGGTGTGTCACCTACAAAACAGTTCATTATTGCAGAGACCTGCTCCGTACCTAGTTCTCTTCATTCAGGATTGGATTTGATTGCCTTCCTTGAGTTTCCAAAGGTGGAACTGAAGCGTTTCCATCAGTTACTCATGGACTCTTCTTTCCTGAAGGGTATAACGTCAGTTTTCACTGGTGTTTGCAATTCCCCAGTCCTCGGAGCACAGTGGCACCTGAGCTGCAGTTAGATACCTGAAAGCTTTGGGGCTTTTCGAGGCAGCACAGCCTTCTGTCCGTTCAGGTGTTTCTGAGAGCAGGTGTCTCACTGGTGATGCTGCACGCTGCCGCTGTGAAATCCATCGTGCCGTGGCTTCACCGGCCGCTGCACCAGGGCTTGTTACTGCTAGCACAGAGTGAGAGCCCGGGAGGTGCCCTCGGCAGCAGCGCTTTGCTAACGCCGTTGTGCACAGCAGAAATGTCTGACTGTTGACATTTTCTCTTGGGGCACTTTGTCTTCTGGCATGTGATGCTGTTCTGCACAGTGTGGAGGGGAATTACTGGAAAAATGCACGAAGCAATTGCAGCTTTTTAAAAAATTTGATTTTAGTTGGAAAAGCCACTATAAGCATTTGATGGTTTTATTATTCTCTCCTTATGTTTTTTTTTTGGCAAAGAACATACTTTATTAAAACCCTGTCACTAACTGCCCGGTAAAACAAGGTTTCTGGAGAAACAACAGGCAGTCTGTAGAAATCAGATTTATAAGACACTTGGTTTAGAGGAGTGCCAGGAGAGGAGTGCCCGCTCAGCATCTCCTCACGCCGCTTCGTAGCTCTGCTTGTGTGTGAGGGGCCGAGAGCCCCTGTGCCTGCCCATGCCGCAGAGCTGTCTGTGCTGGAGCCGGGTGCTC